AAGATCATCCACCAGTCAACTGAAATCTAGAAATTCTACATTTCTCTGTACTTAGAAGTAAAAATCAAGTGATGCACTGCAGGTAATGACTCTTCCAGAAAATACTCCACACAAATGGCCAAGTAGATTATACACTCAGCAAAGTCAATGGCCTGACTCCTAATCAAGCAGTGATCAACTTACTCTGCTGCAACCACCGCAGGTGATGAAAAAACTCACACAGGTTTGACCCAGGTAAAGAAAGAACACACACCTTCACATAAACACAGACCAGTAACATAAGCACAACTTTCAGAACATTTCAGTGAAGATTTCCAATATTCTTCAGAGCATATGGCAACTGCAACAATTCTGCCATCTATTAAGAAAACACTGTTTCAAGCTATGCATGATTTTTAAGCACATAAATCCGACAACCTGCATCCTTAGCGAATCACTTGTACACTGAGAATGACCCCTTTATTTCAAAAGCAAAAGCCCCTCTTAATGGCGCTCCAGTATTTCAATCTGAAGGGCGGGGGGGAAAAAAAGTGCAAGACATCTTACACTAAATACCAGTTAGTTTGCATTTTGGGAATAACCGCCGCATTTCTTCTAAAGCTAATGATTTAACTTGGGCCCTACCGTGCTGCGATGCAGCAGCAATGCCCCTCGGCGGCTCACTGACAAAGCCCAGCAGGCAGAGCTGCGTGACCCCTGCAAGGCTGCTGGGAGGCACATGGGGACCTGCACAAGCAGCCAGCTGCGCTGCTCTGCTCGCAACCCGCACGAAGGCTGCCTGGAAGTGGTGAAGGTTTCACGGCTACCCTCCCACAGCAGCTGCGAGAACCCTCGACCCTTGGCAAGGAGCCCGATGCAGCTCCAGGGACGGCGCAGGGAAGCGCGGGGGCGCCCCGCCGCTCTCCCGAGCGCCTCCGCGGCGCCCCCGGCCCCTGCACAGCCCGCACCTGCTCGTCCTCGTAGATGATGTTGGCGGGGATCTCCTTGCGGATGATCTTCCCGAAGATGGTGTCCCCGCCGGGACGCGCCGCCTGCGCCTTGCTGATCTCGTCAGCCATGGCGGCGGCTCCCGCGCGGCGCCCGCCGGCCCTCAGCCCCGCCTTCCACCGCGGCCACGCCCCCACAGCGCTCATTGGGCCAACGCCAGCATCCGCCCGTGCCCGCCCGTCTGATTGGCGAATTTGCCTGTCATTGTCCCGCTGGTCCCCGCCCACCGCGCTGGCGCGCCCTCGCTGACCCGGGAATCGCGGAGGGATCCGGTGGGAGGAACTATTGCAGGCTCCGCGCAGGGATCAACGAAGTGAAAAGAAACTGTTGAAAAGTAGTGCGGTCCTGGGAGAGGCTGTTGTGAGCAGAAGTATAGCTTATCAAATCCAGCCCAAATACCTGTGTGATTTGTTGGGACAAGCTCCTGCGGACTGCACCAGGCTGGGCTGCCTTAGCTTCTCCACCAAAGTTTGCAGGTGTTTGGTGCTCCTGGATCAGGGTCCTGCAGAAGGGCAGTTTGATGTGCCAGCCCTTCTGCACATAAGTAATTGCGTAACTATGAAACAAAATGATCAGTGTAGCCAAGCAATAATTCACAGAGGGCAGCACAGAGTTACACAGCTGTACACCTAGTTGTAAATGGAATTTTTTTAAAATATATCTATGACACCAGTCATTAAATAGGAGAAATTAAAAAGAAGAGGGTGGGGGAAAAAACAACGCAAACCTTAAGGAGTAACAACAAAGCTTCATTTTCATGCGGTTTAACAAGACCAAGTATGAGGTCCTGCACCTGGATCGGGGCCACCCCTGGTATCAATCCGGGCTGGGGATGAGCAGATGGAGAGCAGCCCTGGAGAGAAGGACTTGGGGTGCTGGTGGCTGAGAGGCTGGACATGACCCAGCCATGGGCACTCCCAGCCCAGAAAGCCAAACGTGTCCTGGGCTGCATCCAAAGCAGCGTGGGCAGCAGGGGAGGGAGGGGATTCTGCCCCTCTGCTCTGCTCTGCTGAGAGCCCACCTGGAACCCTGCACCCAGCTCTGGGGTCCCAGCACAGGGAGGACATGGAACTGTGGGAGTGAGTCCAGAGGCCACAGAAATTATCAGAGTGACAGAGCACATTTTCTGTGAGGACAGGCTGAGAGAATTGGAATTGTTCACCTTTGAAAGGAAAATACTTCAGAATGACCTAATTGCAGCTTTGCTGTACCTGAAGGCAGCCTACAATAAAGATGGAGGGAGATTTTTTACAAGGGCATGTAGTGACAGGACAAGGAGGAATGTCTTTAAATTGCAAGACTGGAGGTTTAAATTGGATATGAGGAAGAAATTCTTTACCGTGAGCACAGTGAGGCACTGGAACAGGCTGCCCAGAGAGGTTGTGGGTGCCCTTTCCCTGGAAGTGTTCAAGGCCAGGCTGGATGGAGCTCTGAGCAACCTGGTCAGGTGAAAGGTGTCCCTGCCCATTGCAGGGGCATTGGAATTGGATGGCCTTTAATGTCCCTTCCAACCCAGACAATTCTAGATTCTCTAGATTTTCTAAACGTCACCAAAAAAAAATATATATATATATTGATTTTCCTGAAGATTTGTCTAGGAGCATATTAATAGAGACATTTATATATGTTTATCTCTAGACAAAAATGTTACAGGAAAACATTTTGGAGGGAGGCAGGGAATAACTATTGCTAAGTGGCTTAAATCTAATATGGTTCTGCAGCCAATTACCTGAACATGTTACAAAAAGAGCATAATTTGTCATGTATTTCTGGTAGTAAATCTGAAATAATTTATCATTAAATACCCTGAAAAAAACTCCCTGATAAAAGTACATTAAACAATGAAATTTTATTCTTTTCCTTAGATGATGTTCTGGATTAAGATATTTTGACATGTGTATGTCCTACAGATGGTATTGGAGCTTTATGACAATTAAAAGAAGTGCTTCAGGGACAAATTTCTTTGAATAATACTGTTGCCCAACCAAGGTTATTCAGAAAATATATGAATAATTTGGGTGAACACTGCTGTGGATTTAGTTAGAAAGTATATTTCTATGTTAAGAAAAGACATAAAGAGACAACTTTTGGAGAAGTTTCTCCAAAAAGCAAACCCATTTTTTTTCATAGACTTGACTTCAGCACATATATTGTCTCACTATGTAAACAGCAACTTTTATTATTTTCAATAAAACAATTAATGAATTAGACCCTCCTTTCAAACATCTAATTCATTCATTCACATCTGCAATAATTATTCTTGGAAATAAATTATGAATAAACATCACTTCTGCTAACAGATCAAGTCTCTTTATGAGTTACATAGTAAAAAATAAGTATTTAATAGATGCTTACAAGTGCGTATTAATAATAAAAATATTAAAATTATTGAGTAATAGTTTACATACAATGTAATTGTATGCTAATTGATATATGGGAACACTAAATAGACTTAAAGATTAGATTTATAGATTTAGATTTAGACTTATAGATTAAATAGACTGTGTTTTGAAGCTAGAGGTCTACTGAGCATTAAAGCTGATTGCACAGAAAACCCTTATGCTGCCTTTAGCTAATGCTGAATGATGTGTTAGTGAACCATAAGCTTGTTTGTTTTTCAAGAGAATGGCAGTTCAGTTTTATAGACGTACCTGGCATGGCCATGATGTGGGCAGGCCAAGGCTGGGTTGGTCAGGGTGTGAGTAGGGCAAGCCAGGGCTGTGGGGAACTTGATGTGAGCAGCCAAGAAAGTGACCGGACTAGAGAGGGGGAATGACTGAACGGAAGAATATGACTGTTGGGTAACACCAGCACGAAAAAAAAAGCCTGCCAGTTCGGAGCTGTGATCCTGAGAACCAAAGGTGTCCTTGAAAAGTGCAACTGGCCTCTTCTAAGTACAGCTGGGTACCTAGAAACTGGAGAGGTCCTGAGATTCTACTGATAAGCACAGAAACAAGGAATTCTAATTATAACTTTTCTTCTGAAGTGGTGAAAAAATAGACTGGGGAAGAAGCACCCCAGATAAGGAAGGACTCCAAACAGCCGTTGGTTGCTCTAACTGCAAGAGCAAGGATACAATCTGGCAAAATAAAAACTGAATTGAAGAAGCATCAAACACCATCATTTATTGGCCATTCTATGTGTTGCACAGAAACTGTGCGACGGCTGTCCAGTTACTCATTTGAAACAGTTGCAGATTTTGTTCAGGAGTAGAACACAGTGCTCTTTGTGCCATCCTGGGCAATGATGTGCAGACACTGGCAGGGGTGCTGGGCAGGGAGCAGCCCCTCATCCCCACCGCGGCTCCCCTTGGAGGGCAGGGTTCCCTGGGGCACTGACTACTGCAGTGGAAGGGAGAGCCTGTGGAATGGAGAGCCTGTGGAATGGAGAACCACTGCCTGCCTGCTATGGACCCCCCTCAGCTCCTGCTGCAGGCAGTGCCAGCCTCCTGCCAGACCTCGGCACACCGAGTCCGGGCACTGTTCGGATAGCCCAGAAGGCCAGTGGGATCCTGGGGTGCATTCGGAAGAGCACTGCCTGCGGTTCCAGGGAGGCGATCCTGCCCCGCTGCTGTGCCCTGCTGAGGCACGTCTGGAGTGCTGTGTCCACAGTGTCCAGGACAGACATGGAGCTCCTGCAGTGGGTCCAGCCGAGGGCCGTGAAGATGGCACAGCGGCTCTTTTTTGAGGAAAGGCTGTGGGAGCTGGGCCCGATCAGCTTCGAGACAGCTGAGAGGGGACCTCGTCAGTGTCTGTCAGTGTCTGAGGAAAGGGGTCAGAGGAGATCCAAGCTGTTCTCTGTGGTGCCCAGCAACACGGCAAGGGCCAGTGGGCAGAAACCGATGCTTCTGAAACAGGAAGTTTCTGTGAACACGAGGAAGAACTTCTTTGCCGTGAGGGTGAGCGGGTACAGGAGTAGATTGTCCAGATAATTTGTGGAGCCTTCCGCAGTGGGGATGGAACTCTCTGGACACAATCGTGTGCCGTGTGCTCTGGGATGTCTCTGTTTGAGCAGGGACGTTGGACCAGATGAGCCGCTGCGGTCCGTTCCGGGCCGGGCTGGAAGTCCCTTCTGTGACCCGTGAAGGGCGCGTCAGCCCCGCCGGCGGCGGCAGCAGGGCGGGGGGCACAAAGGCCGCTCGGAACGGCGGCGGCGGCGCGGGCGGCCCCCGGGGGACAGCATTGGCGGCGACACCGGCAGCAGCGCGGGAGGGTGCGGCTCGTTCCTGCTCGGCACTTCCGGCGGGGCACTTCCGGCGGCGGGCGCCATGGGGAGCCGCGGGCAGGCGAGTGACAGACACACAGACAGACACACAGACACACAGACACACAGACACACAGACAGACACGCGTATGCTGTCCGTGGTGGGTGGTTGCAGCCTTGTGGCTTTTGTAGAGCCAAAAATCCTAGAAGATGCCTGAAAATGGCCGAGGAATTGTTGGAAATAGCCATTAAAAATGTCAATTTTTGCCATACACGTGTTCAACCCAAAACCACATGTAATATTAATCTGCCGTTTGAAAAGATGGCAAATGTACTGTGGGGTATAAAAATTTTAGGATATTAAAATATGTGCAAAACAATACGTTTATTTGTTTGATTGTTTGTTTGTTTTTAATTCTGTGGGTTTACTTTCCACAGATTCATCCATCTAGGGAATGGTGCAGCTGTAGGCAACATGGCTGTTAATTTGCTGAATTTTTTTCTGAGTTACAGCCCTGTGTTTCTTCTATGTCCTTCTAAAAAATATTTGGAATACTAATCGTGAGAGAACAAATTGAGATTATTGTGAAGTACCTGGAATTGTGCCCTCTAGAGGTGCAAAACATGATAGGGAGTACTGGAAGGAGCTTCAAAAGGCATATTGTTATCGGGATTACGTTTTTCTGGTGCTTGTCGGAGATTCTCTTCAGTCTGTGGCAAGGCAAACACCAGAAAAGTCTCTCAAGGATTTGAGGGTTTCTGTGCTTCATTGCAGTCTGTGTGAATGGTCAAGCACAACCACAAGACTGTGAGCTGTGATTCTCCGGGGGTTTGATTTTCATGCATGTTCAGGTCTGTCTTCTCTACACTCTAAATCCCAGCTTTCTGAGTGTTTGCTTTTACTGACGTGTTCATCTGCTGACCTGGCAGCTGTCTTTAAGGGAAGGACTTTGCACTGGTTTTGCTGCACCACCTGTAGAAGATTTTTGTGTGAGAATACTTCAGACATTTCTTTTTCTATCTCAGTAGCTAGAGAATATGCACTGATGTAACCTTGATAATTCCTTCAAGTAACTTGACTTTTAGAGTTATTCCAGTTCTGTTGGGTTTATTTGTCGTTGGCACAATAAATAATGCTTGTGTCCATGTATTTTCAGGATTGTATTTCCATCATGGCAATAATTATTTAGTATTGTGGTGCCAGCGTTTTAGGGCAGGTTGAAATATCTGACCTATCTAAGATTTTGATGACATCACATCTGCTTTGGCTGCAAGTGTTAATCAGGAATTTAAATAAAGCCTCTTACCTGTTGATTCTGTATCAAGTTCTCTACTGAATGGAAAGAATATGAAATTTAAACCAAAACATTTTCAGTTGTAACGTGTTCATTTTAACTAACAATCCTGCTAGCAAATAAGTTAATTCTGTTGATGTTGTATTGGCAGGTTTTGAAGCTTTTTAAGTTGTTACATAGAACACGGCAAGAAGTTTTTAAAAACGATACCAAAGCCCTCGAAGGTGAGATACTTGTTTTGTGTGGTGTGTGCTTACCTGTATTTCGTGGAGCTTTCTTCTTGGAATACAGAGAAAGATAATGTCAAGAATTATCTTTATTCAAATTACTCCCATAATTTTCAAATAATAATTGGGAAAACTTGTGTGTCCATAATCAGATATCCTTTAATTTGAAACAAAAAAATGGTCCTTAGATTCAAGCACCCAACACATATATTGAAAGGGAAACACCTGTTTTTTAAATGTTCCTGATCTTCTTGGGAGATATTTTTCTTTTGCTTGTTTTAACTTCTCTTCAGTCCAGCCAGAGCATGGTTAGCTGTACTAATTAATTCTCTATGTGTGGTTTTTCCTCAAGGGATTAATCCTGCTTTTTTAGTACCTTGTGTATGCAATACAGAATGCTAAATTTTGACTCTTATTTTATTTGTATACCAATCAACTTAAAATGTGACATCATGTGAATTACATGGAGATCTTACATTGAAATACTTGGATCAAAATGTGCCATAAAGGACTTAAGATTCTTAACTTTGGGGCAGTGACAAATTCAAAATACAATTTTTGTTCACTTTAGTTTTTTGTTTACTTTATTTAGCTGCAAGACAAAAGATAAATGAAGAATTCAGAAATAACCGAGACGAGACATCTGAAGAGAAGATTAATGAGGTATTTTATTGCTCTCTGTTGTTTGGGGGTTTTTCCCAATTTATATAAGAATATTTGAAAATCAGTTTTTACATAAAGGATCTCTAAACCATTGTAGAGACGTTGAGACATCATGAAAGCCAGGTTGGTTTAGAAGACTTCTACATGGATCTTTGTTTATAAATATATAGATACTGCCAGTGGTATTAATACTCTGTTATAAAATCTTGTACATACAAAAATACATAAATAGAAAGTGTGTTCTGATAGTTCAATGTTATTACTTTGAAGTTTATAATAAAATTTTATGAGGTAATATTTGAAGTTGAAATTTTCATGTAAATATTTTATGCTTTGCTCATAATACCTATCTGCACTGTGGTCACCTAAGTGTACCTGCTCATTGTTGTTTAGGCAAACAGAAACAGACAAATTAAACGATCTGCTCAGTTAATATCACAAATGACTCAGCATCTTTGTGGAAGTCAAAAACCAGTAAAATTATTATGATTGATTCTAGTATAGTATAGTTGTAGCATGTCTTAATTATACTACAGGGATTTTTTTGCTTCTTCTTTCCTTATCATGCTTTAAAAGTGGAGCATTCAGTTAATTCATTAAGTTAGTTACCTTTGCTCAATTGTTGCCTTAACTCCTTTTGCTGAGCCATTTTTTTTTCTGAAAGTTACTGTGAACTGAAAGGGAATTGCTGTGGTTTAGATAATTATAACTATTAACATCCGTACAGACTGAATCATTTAGTTCTTGTTGTTCAGCCTTTTATCAGACTGTCTTTAGATTGTCACTGGGCACTGGTTGGAAGAAAGTACCTACATCTGTCCCTTGAGGAAATAAAATGTAAACCTTTTCCTCATGCCAGCCACTGAACAGTAATGTAAATAGTTCTGACCTTTTAGTTAGGAGTTCCTCAGTTTCAGCTTGTCATCAGCCTCCTGTAGTAATACCCAGTGTTTGTGCTACCACTGTCTGATCGGCTAAGTTATGTGTTCAGGGGTTTTTTTTAATAGATGTACAGGAAAAATATTTGCTGCAGTTCTGAAGTCTGTATTTGTTTTCTAGACAACCTACAAATTACACATATATGATTTTTTAATATGGGTTAGCTGATACTTGAATAACTCTGTCAGTGAAAGAAATACTAGACTTCCATCCCAGCTACACACTCCTAGAACATCACAGAAGCTGTCATATTTATTACATGTACACACTGAAAAGACTTAGTTGCAGAGGAACTGAATCGAGTTTTATACAGGACTTCAGAATGTTTGAGCACTTGCTGTTAATGTTCTGCTTTGGACAGCAACTAAAATATGGAGTATTTACCAGCCAGAATAGAAAATTACAGTGTATTCTAATGTGACAACACGTACTTGCATCTGTATGTACTTGTACATGTCAAGCTTGCAGTGACATAAGGAGATCAAAGTAACTGTCTGCAGGATGAGAATGAGAAATGTGGTAGCTGAATCTAACGCACCAGCTTTTGTTCAGATGCGGAGTGCACTTATGAAGTGACCTTGGTTGTTTCCACTTCCTGTGACTTGTCTTGTTTGCAAAGTGTCAGACCTACTAGCAGAATTCCCTTAAGGTCAATCTGAAGAGGAAGCTGTGCTTCAGGCGCATGCAGCCTAGCCGCTAATGGATTTTCAGCAGGGGGAACTGAAGGGTACCTGCTCCAAGCCCTTAAAAGGGAAGAGCGTGAGAAGTGCAGTTCAGATGGCAAGTATTGAGCTCTAGCCTTTGTGGAGATACATGCCACTTCCTAGTATGAGCATGTCTTCTGAAATGTCTTACTTGAGCAATTTCATTTATTTCTGACACAGGTATCATGCAAACAAGTATTAGACTTTTCTTAATGGCTTAGCAAACCTAGCAGGGGTGCTGCAGTTTATCCTCTTAGTGTTGAGAAGGAATTCTAGGCCTTTTGCCAAATTCTAATGCCTTGGGTAGTCATTAGGTAGTGCCTTGTTTCTGCAGAGTTCTACTGTGAAACCTCAGTATTAGTTCTTGTCATGTTTTGCCCTTGTTTTTGTCTGCTTATTTCAGGAGCAGTAGTGTTGAAAGAATGGGATTGCCCTTTCACTATGAGAAGTTGAATGTTATTGAGGTGTGACTGAGTGTCATTGATCACTGGAAACTAGTTAATTGGTTTTGTATTTGCATTTCACGTTATTCATTTGCAGTTTTAATTTGGTACGTAGATGCAGGTACTGGTGTATGTTACTGAGCCAGAGTTTCCCTCACTATATGCTCTGTGTCAAGGTCACTTACATGTCAATCTCTAAGTTATTCCAGGATCCCCAAGGCAAAAGTAATGTATACATAGTACATAAATAACTGAGTAGTACAACTGAATGATTTTATTATTTGAATAGTTGTCTAGTATGGAAAATATCTTCAGAAACAGTCACATATAATTCAAATTACTCTCTTGTTCCTCTCTTCTTATTCCCTTTACTAGCTTCTTAAAATAGCTTCAGATGTTGAAGTGATTCTCAGAACTTCTGTTATTCAGGCGGTTCACACAGATTCTGACAAAATAGGTGAGTAAGCCTGCATGCTAAAAAGATACTTAAATATGTTACAGTTTAGTAAATAAGTATAGAATATGAAAATAAGGTAGGGAATAGTGAGACAAATAGCCTGTCTGTTATTCTCTGGCAAAATTCTTAATGTAAGCTATTTGTTAATGTCACTACCTAGGACAGGTGGAGGTTTCAAAGGTACAAAATTTCCATACAAATGTTTTGAAGTGTAGAGGCTGGTAAAAAAAGGGGCCATGATTACTTTTAATGCCCCTAACTAGCTGTAACTCTTAGGCAGGTCAGCAATTAGATAGCTAGTCAGCATGCATGTACAGGTTAGTTAGTCAGCATATGTCTAAAGGCAGAGGCCGCAGTACCTGTCTGTAGGTGTTTGCTCTACCAAATAGGGAGGAGCTGCCTGAGGAGCATTAGCAAGTGCAGAATATACACTGACCATAGAAGAGCTTTTTCTTTGAGGCTTGAGTGTTCATTTCCAAAATTTTTTTCCAACTATTTCGGTTTCAGGTTATGCTGTGTAAGAATACAGTGATTACCTCAATGCAAAGTCTATCAAATTTTGAAATCCTGATTCCTGGTTTAGAAGTTCTTTTATCTTGCAGTCAAAAAGAGAAGTAGTAGGTTGGCTCAGAGTACAGCTGTGTGGTAAGAGAATACAGGAAATCTTCAGCTGTGTACATTGTTTCCTTTTACTTCTGTTTAGTGTTGTCTGTAATGTTTTGCACCAATTTTCAGGTTTAGGTTTGGTAAAACATATAACTTTAAAACAGCGATTATGATCAAGGCCAAAGATAAGTCTGGACCAGTGTCAAGTCTTCCATGGTGATTCCAGGCAGATAACAGTTGAAGAATAGGAACAGACAAAGTGAATTTGCACCTCTTTTCAGCTGTTCACACCTGGCAGCACTTCCTGAGTCAGGGATGTTTTCTGGTTTAATTATCTTCAATGGGCTTCTCTTCAATTACTTTTCATTTTCACCAAGCTGTTCATGAATTTTTAAGTCCTTTATTGCCTCCTTTCTGTTCACTTCTCCCATGAAGCAGCTCTCAGGAGCAAGAGGTGTGATTATTCTTGCTGTTCAGTGCACACTGGGCAAGGAGGCATTTATACACACAACGATGGCACAATAATGTTCTCTCTTTCATTTTCAACTGGATTCCTGGTAATAGTCACTGCTAATTCTAAATTTAATTTTTGGCTGCCAAGCATACATATTGCTTTTTTTTACAAAACTGTACTCATTAAACTCATTGGAGTGGTCATAATCGGTTTTGAACTTACCACTTACTTTACATATATATATATATATATATATATAAAATAAGTTAGTATTTTTCTTGACCTGTGTGCTTTGCATGTCTCCAGGTGTAATTTTGTCCGTCAGTTTACTCAGTCAGGTCTTAAGCATGTCTTGCTATTTTTCACAGTAAGACATCTTCTTAATGAAATTGTTCAGGATGGTACAATTAAAAACCTTTTCTTCACAGGTTATTTACAAATATGTTGAACAGTGACATGTCAGCAAAAATACCTGTAGTACTCCACGTTTGACATCACTCAGTGGATGACCTGATCATTTATTGTTCACATCTTACAGTTTTAACCGGTGACTTGTCTCTGCAAGACTTCTGTCATAAGGCTGTTGTTTTATAAAAGCATTGACTGAGGGACTTTTGGGAATCCAAACATGCTGTGGTAACCTCTGAAGCACCACTCAGAGAACTCGAGCAGAGAGTGTAAGGCAGAACTTCCTTTGCAAAAGCCACGTGGATTCACATTCAAATACTAACTTATATTCTAATGCTGTGCAAGTATGTAGGGATGGGGTTATATCAGCAGGTGTATCAGCAACAGAAGGAGGAGGAGAGAAAACATAGGCCTGCAGCTGAATATGACAGGGGACTCGGTAACGAAGGAAACAGAATAGTCAGTTCTGTGACAATATTGTGGCAGTAACTTTCACTGGGTGCTTTCTTTTTCTGTTGGCCTTCAAAATAGGTGTGACAAGATAAATATTATGGATTAGATTCCAAGGCTTGGGTGAGAGAGCTAAGTCAAATCCAATATTCATTTTTGAAACTGCTGAAGTAAGCATAATGACTCAGGTTTGAAAAAAAATGCCATTGACCCCCCTGCTAAAATTACTGCAAAACTTTAATGGTGTCTTAATATCAAAATTTTCAATGTAAAAGGAGATGGGAAAACATTATTGTAACCAGCCGAAAGTAAAATCTTAGGAACCGGATTTTTTGTTTGTAAATGTAAAAACACCTTTAGAATTTGAAATAGTATTTTCTATAAGATTATAGTCTTTACTGTTTTGGTTTTTTTTTTTCTATTTCAGTACTCATACCCAGGAAAGATCTGCTACAGGACAACACTCCTTACTTAGATAAACCAACAAAAAAACAAGAATCCTGAGGAAATATTGTTACCAGGAAAAAAGAGACTGAAATCAACTCACTGATTTTATTGAGTGCTGGAATATCATCATGCGCTTGTTCCGTGGAAGATAGTAATACTTTCACAGAACTTAAAAGTACACTCATGAATTGTGTTACTTCAGCCAGGAATGTTTCTGATTATGACATCTCTCAGACAGAGATTGTTTCCCAGCAATCCAGAGTTTTTCAAAGCAATTTAAAAATTAAATGGAGTACTTAATACTGATAATATTTATTTTAAAGTTTAATGTCAATCATAAGCTTCTTTGAAGTAATGAAAAATCATCTTGTGGCATATAATGTTAAATTTATTCCTTGCACCAAAAGCATGATTTCTGAAGTTGTCATTAATTGTACACTAGTATACTGTGATGGTTGAGAGATTTCTTAAAGGTTTGTCCGAATAAATTATTTGTGTTTTACAGATGGGAGAGCATGTCTAGTGTTTTTCTTCCACACACTCTGGAATGAGCCAGGAATGTTAGGGTTTGAGTTCTCAGGTGACAGCACAAAAGAACCCAGACACAACATAACCTGAGGATGTTGGTTTACATCATATGGTTTATGAATTTGTGGTTTGTGTTTTAACTTGTAATCATTGAGTAACTGCAGAGAAAAGGCCCTTGCTGTTTAGTTGCAAGTGAACTTGCCTAGAGTGAATATATGAAAAGTATGATTAGTAAGCCCTAATAATTTACATTTTTTAAAGGATACTTCCTTGGTTCTTGGGGAATTCATTGCAATGATCTGTTCATTTCCATTTTAATTGGATGGAGGTACAACTGCAGTGATACATAGAATCTTTTCTTCATGAAATTGATGTCAGGCATCACCCTAGGATCTAAGTACCTCACACAGGAGTGAGGCAGTCTGACAATACGTCTCACCTTATGAGTCCTGCTGTATCTGTTATCTCAGTCTCCAAGATGTCAGAATTGCCTATCTATGTCTGTACTGATTTGGTTTGACTGGATGAATAAACCAGAAAACTCGTGCCTTCATCCAGTCTCTTTTTCTCACAAAGCATGTCAATGTGACAAGTACTCCTTTCTTTAAAACTCTTGCCTCTGGCTGCGATGGCCAGGTCAGCCAGCAGGAAATACAGCTGTCAGTAACTCTCTTTGAATTGCACTGATACTCCCTGCGCTGTAGCTAAAAGGCACCAGGCACAAGATGGGAGATGGAATTAAATGACTGCAGTTCTTGCCATTTGTTGTATTCTAGTGGCTCCACTACAAAACAGAAGTCTGTCTGTAGAGGATGTCCTCTTCCAGGCCCCTGGTATTGTTTACTTCCCTAAGAACTATATCCCATGTCTGGTTTCCCATCCTTCTGCAGCCTGCCTACATTGACTTTTTTTTTTTCGATAATGAGCATAAAAGAGTCATATGCCAGAAACAGAAAATACAAGGTAGTTGCAACTACCTTGTAAAGAGAAAGCAGAACATTGCCTCAGGTGAAATTACCAACTTTTAAACTGAAGTAATTAAACAGGGGTATGGCAAGACTGGGAAATGATATAACCATTAAGGTGGACATCCCATGCATGGCATGTTGGAACTGGGGGGAATTCACCTCTCATAGCCACTGCCTTAGGCTGTGGGTATAGCCTTAGAAACTTTACCCTTCGGATTGATTTTATAGAACTGATGTTTGCTAAGTTTTCTCTCTTTCACTACAGATGTAAAACAGTATTACCCATTACTATGCAAAATAGTTAGTAAAAGACTTCAGTGATGTCAGCGGTAGATGGTGGTCTTCTATATGCTCTTTGAGGAAGCCACAAGTGGAGAAATTTGTCATGTGACTATTGCTTTGGTATTGTCCTGCTGTCATGTGTTCCAGGGTTTTATTTTTTAGTAAGAATACATCAGTAGAAATACAGTAGGAAGTGTCAACTTACAGGATCAGGATTGCAATTCAACGGGCATTTGTGTCTTTCATCTTACATATATCTTGAATACTCCTAATAAAAATACAGAATGAGTCACTTGAATAACATACACAACTGGTGAAAATAAAGTACCTTGTAAAAATAATGGGTACCGTTTATTTGTCTTCAGAATGATTGTTCTTACACTCCTGTGCAGTATCTTTATGGTATGTGCATTAACATTCTATGTTCCTGCTGTCCTTGTGCATTCCTGGCAGCAAAGACAAACCAAATTCTGCAGTGTTAAGATGAAGAAAATGAAGATGATACCAAAAAGGCTATTGACATAAGAGGCTGACAGGCCTATTCCTTGCTATTATTCAATGTGATCTTAAATAGGAGTCCAGGGAGTATCTAGACCAGGGTAAATGGAAACCCAAATATGATACTGAGCCTAAAAGTACCTCAGACTTGGTTGCTGTCTGGGCCCCAAGTACCCCAGACTTGGTTGCTGTCTGGTGTTCGCTTTCTTCAAATTTAACTTTTCAGCCTTGAAAGAATCTCACAAGCCTTTGCTGTCTGGGCCCAGTAGGTGTTCGCTTTCTTCAAATTTAACTTTTCAGCCTTGAAAGAATCTCACAAGCCTGCTTAATGAGCAGCGTAATTCAAGTCTTCTTCATGCTAGTTGATCGTAGTGACTATTCCTCTTCCCCTTACTTCATGCTTACCTGTTGGTGTGCATTCCAGAATCCAGCCATCACCCCAGTTTCCATTTCCCTTTTTAATTTCATGCTGCGTATGAATCTGTTCTTGATATTGCTAGGATTGTGCTCATATATATATGTATTTTATTTTTTTAATTACTAAAAATAATAAAAAATAAAAAGGAACTGTTGATGCAATCTCTCTTTGCAAAGGTTGAAGTCTTAGTTGAAACTTTTCAAGTCATTACAGGAGTTTTCACTTAATGGCTTAGAAAGGGAAAAGGGTTTTCTGTTTACAACAGAAACTGTATTTTAACAGGTTCACAATTACACAATTCAATCACATTTAAGTGTTTTAGATTTACTGGAACAGCAGAATTTTTAAAGCAAATGTGTGTGCCTTTCCTTCTAGAGTATATATAATGAATCATAAAAGATATGCCTTGAACAGTTCTTTAAACTGTAGTTTTATTATGTGTGTATCAAAAAAAACCAACCCAAAACCCTAGAGCTCTTCTCCAGGCAGACAGGAGGTGCTCTTGGAAAAGCCTCAGTGCTTGCTCTGCTACAGCCCAGCTGCCACAGCCAAGAGGTCAGTGTGGTCTGACCAGCACACACTGCTGTGCAGGGGCATGTCCATGACCTGTACAGAGACACCAGCAGTGCTGCTTAGCAAGACCTGGGCTTGTACAGGCGAGTTTCAGGTTTGCTCGAGGTAGCCACATGTGTACAGAGTTTGGCAGAACAGATGCTACCTCAGTGATTCCATGTAGCACAATTCTAAGCACTTCCGTTTTTGGCATCATCTACCTGAGATGCAGCTGTTAGAGCCTTCTGCCTTGGTATTCTCTGTCATGAAGTGTTGACTTCATATACACTGTAGCTTTATTGAGAGCATGAAATACATCAGAAGAGTTTTTTCCATTTAAATACTAAGTTCTGTGCTAACACATTTCCCTCTTCTTTGTTTAACAGTTTCAAAATAAAAGGTTTCTTCAGTTGTGTTTTTATGCAAGATTAGGATAGGGATCAATCATGGTGTTAGTATATTTTCTATAGCCTGATGTTCATAAAACACAGGTGATAGATTTAATTTATTAATTGATTTGGTTTGTGCAGTTAGGATTTGTGTTGAACTTTTAACAGTTTCGGGTGAAACAAGGTGGTTGTTCTAATGTAGCAGGGAAAAATTAATCCCCTTCTCTGTTCCTGTGCACTTTGGTAAAGGAAGCATTTAGTTGCTAATTTTACAGGGTGTACTTTTAAACCACAAAGTGCTTTTACAAAGACTTGATCTGGAAGTAGCCTTAAAAGTTCAATATGGAAAGGTGGCTTGTAGCTTCCCTAAAGAGCTGAGTTCTCAGTTTTTCAGGTAACATGAGATCAGCAAACCTGTGGTGACTTCAGTGACATAAGCATTTAGTCTTTTCCTTAGAGGTCCTGCCAGCTGAAGCAGCTGAAGTAGTCTGAATGCTGCATAAAATTATCAGCCCTGTTTGTATCACACTGGCCTTGTAAATACAACTTCAAGTACTGGCAGTTCTTTAAACTTCCTTTACAAAAGGAAAAGAAATATTGACAATTGAAAACTAAAAATAAAGGCTGACCAGCTAACAGGAAGAGCTGAGACCTAATACTTCCCAGCTTCAGATAACTCTTTCAAAACTACTTGCAAAATCCAGTCCTTAAGTTTGAAGTTTGGTAGGCTGTCAAATCTTTGATCTTGGGAAGGTAATTATTTAAAACAAAGCACAAATTGAGTATTAAAGTTGGTATTTGGTATTAAGGATATGAGGTGCTGGAGTGTGTCCAGAGCAGGGCAAGAAGGCTTGTGAAGGGTCTAGGAAACTTGCCTTATGAGGAGTTGCTGAGGTAGCTGGGTTTCTGTAGTCAAGAGCAGGCTCAGGGCAGACCTCATTGCTCTCTGCAGCTCCCTGAAAGGAGGCTGTAGTGAGGTGGGGGGTGGTCACTTCTACTGTCCCTACAGTGATAGGACCAGAGAAAATGGCCTTCAGCTGAGACAGGAGAATCAGATATTTGAAAAAAAATTTCACAGTTGGGGTGCTCAGGCATTGGAATAAGTTGCCCTGGGAGTTATCATCCCAGGTGGAGTTACCATCTCTGGAGGTGTTTAAGAGGCATCTGGATTTGGTGCTGGGTGATGTGGGTTAGTGGTTCAGGGGTTATAATGGTAATGTTGGGTGGATGGTTGGACTTGGCAATCACAGAGGTCTCTTCCAACCTCGATTATTCCATGGTTTTACAGTTATACAGGTTTGATATTTTGATATCAAATTCCAGTCATCTTTGAGAGTATACTTAGCTTCTTTGAGGGTAAATCTATGGCATAGATATCCAGATACCTAATTCTGTTGAAAGACTTCACTAGTGAAGCTTTCACAGCTGTTGTGACTTTTTTTTTCCTGCCAACAAGAATAAGTCTGCAGAGAGGAAAAGAGAGGATGGTCGTGTCTTTATACTTTGAAAAATAGCAGTAAGTTTAAATAATTTGCTCTTTTTAGAAACAAGAATTTCCATTTAGCTAGAACTTCAGTAATCTGGTTGCCTCAAGATGGTGGAGTAAAAGCACCTACTTTTTAAATTATGCTTTCTTTTTTCTTGTGGTATATCCTTCAGGTTTTCATCTCATCTGCACTAAAGGCTATGGCTAGAATCCAGGATTAGTCAGGATAAAACAAACAGCAGGTGAAATGATGGCCTCTTGAACCTGGGGCAGAGGATGGCATGCTTTGTGTTAGGCCATAAAAGTGGGAAGAGTTCTGCTGTCACACTTGCTGCTATAGCAGTGGCAGCCCTGTTCTCTGAGGTCAGTGGCCGTTGACTCAGCTGCCCT